TGGGTTTGTTTAACTGCGGAGGAAGATTTTATCATGTGACTAACTTATCTGATTCATCAGATCAGCTTGCCGTAACAGTATATTAAGTATGGTAAACGTAATAACAGGACTTGAACAGCAAAACAAACAATTATTAGAAGGAATTAACAATCTCAATAAAAAAGAGAGAAAGAAATTGAAAACCTTAAAGTAAAAATCTGACACTTCACTGGTTAGTCTCTTGATAAAGATGGCAATGTTAGCCTTTATGTTCCTAGAGGAACATGATGACACAAAAAACTAAACCAAAATGAATGAATGAAGGCAAATTAAGAATGGCAATAGATCCTAATGAAACTCGAGAGTGAGCTAAAAATTGTAAAAGAATTTAATTTGACAACATTACTATTGAAGAAATATTAGAAGGGTTTATTATTATTGATTGTTCAAATGACTTAGCTTCAAATTATGCAGGAATAGGAAGTTGGTCAAAATCTGATTTAAATACTCAAAAGTTTGAACAAAAGGAAAAGTATGAGGATCAAATAGCAGAATTGGAACTAAAGAAATAAGGAGTTAGAAGCAAAAGTAGAAGAGTTAGATGATGAGATATGAATGGAGCAAGAAGAAGCAGAGAAAGCATTAGATGCAGCTATTATTATGAGATAAAGAAAACGTCAAATGTTTGAAATTGTTTTAAAGCATGATGCTGCCATGGAAAACTTCTGGATCGAATAGACTTGTTGGAAATAATTTAGCTGCTAAAAATCAGAAAATAAACTGAAGAGATTATCTAGCAACTAACAAAAAATTAGTAAGCAAATAAAAAAGAAAACTAAGGAGAAGTTTCAAACTTTTATCATTCGGAAAAGTAAGTAGATTGAATATAGAGTTTTGGAAATAGCAAAAAATGACGAGCAAGAGTGTAATTTTTGTTTTCTCGATTTTGATGATCCAAACTCTTCTTAGCTTTGATACTGCTCCTGTCACTCATCAAATGGTAGCTCATAATACTCCCGATGGTTATGCCGACATAGTTTTTATTTGTAGTGAATGTAAAAAAGATTATGATAATAATCCTCTTCCGCGTTGTGAGAAATGCAGTAGATTAAAGAGAATTAGGAATAGGTGTTTTGTAGTCGTTTAAAAGCTAAATCAGCTAAACCACTTTCTGATGAAGAAATATTTTCAGTTCTCATCTAGAAAACAAACTAGAGAACTGGAAAAGGAGTTATCAACTACTAAAGAAAAATTGAACATTGAAAGAGAAGAAGTAGCCAAATTTCAAGAAAAGTCCAGGAGTGAAGTAAAAGGCAGAAACAAGAATTATTGAATAAGATAAAGAGTTTAGAAGGAAAAATTAAGCAATTAGAAGAGGAAAACAAATTATTGAAGGGCAAAAGAATGGTCAAGTTGCTCAAATTGAGGTTAAAGAAACTAAAAAAATGACCTTGATTAAAAGTAAGAAGTAATTTAAAGACTGGGAAGCTTTTTGGTTACTTTCTTATAATAATAAATGGATTATTCTAACTCTCAAAGTTAAATTACTTTATATAAATAAATAAATAAAAAGCCTGGCTTTTTGTTGATGATTATTCATATTCAACAGTAATAGTAATATCACATCACCTCTCAAACAAGTCTCAAAAAGTCCATGAATTCTTACTCTGGTTTGAGCATTTGCAAGTGGATCAAGTCCAATGCTTCACAATATATCGTAGGTGTAAACAAATAAAGAACGCAAAACTCCAATGCTTCACAATATTGTTGAAAGTCTCTAATCCATTCTTTGGGATCTTCTCCAGCTCCTCCTATTATTAAAGCAAGTTTCTAAAATAAAAAAACATTAGCCATTTTATTATTATAGCTCACATGGTCAAATGTTCACTTTGTCTGGTTTTGTTGCAGTCTGCCCATATGAGCTACAGTTAAGTAAAATTTCATCAGCTAAATTAGTTCATTTTTCAGCCACATCAGCCTCACATAATAAAATGTTCACTTTGTCATTTGTTCAACACCCCCTTAGCATTGCGCACCTTGAAGTTACATATCTACAAATGATATATGATCAATATCCAAAGTGTTTACGATTTTCTCTCTCGAGAATCGACCGTTCTCCTCCTAGCGATTTATTTTTCTCCCTCATTTTTTTATCTCAAATCCCATATTATCGTAAAGATGCCACAAGACTTCTTTAATAACCTGTCTCAAGACTTTAGTAAACTTCTCTCAAATGCAGACGAGTACAATGTAATACTCGAAGTCGGAGAGGCGCCAGGATCGAAAACCTTTCGTGCACACTCCTTAGTATTAAGAGCGAGGAGTCCATATTTTCATACTGCATTGTCTAGTGAGTGGGCTAGGAAGGAAGGGGGGTCTACCATTTTTAAGAAGCCGAACGTGTCACCTTTGGTATTTGAAATTATTTTGAAGTGAGTTACCGGGGGGTTAGAATGAGGAGAATAGATTGATAGATGAGAAAGCTGAGACAAGCATGTGATACTTTGCTTACTTTAAATAGTGTAAGTTTAATCGTCACTAGAAAGCTTATTCGCGACAAGTGATTCCTAGATTGACGTGTATTGTGCCTATATGCCGTTATTATAACTCATCCAGCTTGCCTCATACATTGAACTAACCACTTCTTTATTATTTTATAGATACATGTATTCCGGGTCAATTGCCCTAGAAGAAGTGGGCGTGACAGATATCATCAACCTTTTAATCGCATCCGACGAATTGCTATTGAAAGAACTATTTGACTATGTGGAAGATTTTATCCTTGAGCATGAACGAGAATGGGTTGAGGCGAACGTTGTTTATGTACATCGATCAGTCTATCAACACGAATCGTGTACCAAACTTCAAGATTTCTGTCTCAAGACCATCTGTAAAGTACCTCGTATGATCTTTGATTCCGAAGAGTTTTTCTCCTTTGAACAGAATTTGCTAATACCCGTTGTTGAGCGAAATGAATTGCAAATGGAAGAAGTTGAGATTTGGGACAAGTTGGTTCAATGGGGAATCGCACAAAGTGAAGATCTACCGGATGATCTTGACGAATGGAGTGAAATCCATTTCGCGGCGTTAGAAAGAAATTTAAAACCATTCATCCCTTTGATTCGATTTGCTCAAATGTCGACCACCGAATTTTACGAACATGTCTGGAAGTATCGTTGGATCATTTCAAATGAAATTATGGATGAAATAATAAGATACTACTTAGCACGTATGTTGCCTACCACAAGTATTACCATCCATCAACCTCGGCTGATTTCCTTCGACTCTGTTATCATCCAAGGTAACTACGTTGCCAAAATTTGCGATTGGATTGATCGTAACGACGGGAAACCATACGCTTATGAGGAGGTTCCATATAAATTTAAACTGCTACTTCGTGGTACTCGTGATGGATTTGAAGCGGAGACGTTTCATAACTTATGCGATGACAGAGGTCCAACCATCGTCGTTCTTCGAGTACGTGGAAGTGAAGATATTATTGGAGGGTATAATCCTCTCACATGGAAGACTGGCGAGGGGAAAATGACTACACAGAATAGTTTCTTGTTTTCCTTTGGTAATAAAGGAGTTATTGCTGACGCCAAGTTAGCTAGAGTGGATCGTCCTGATTATGCTATACGACTGAAGGATGTGAACCATGGACCTTGCTTTGGCGATAGAGATCTGTGGATGAAGAATAAATTTAACGAGCACCAGAACTGTTCTTGTGAGAAGGACGATTATCATGACAGTGTTTATAGTAATAGTAAGTTTTCTGTCGTTGAATACGAAGTATTTCTTGTTGTCAAGAAATAACTCGATGTCTAACCATACAAGAACAATTTCAAGAGAATAGGTGTCTCTACACATGACGTTGTGAATGTCATTAATAAATAAATATATTATGTACATTGATTATATAATAATGGTACAAGCATGTCAATAAAAGCTAACGGAAAAGTGCAATCTAAGTATAGTCTATTTATGCATACATCTTTAGAAGGCATGCTTGCATAGTTGTTTAGTCAAAATAATGTTATGATGGTCTTCACCATATTTTGATTTAATTTCCAATATTTACAACTATGTAAACAATTCAAAGAATGTCTGACAAAGACTATAAATATAAATAATGTCTCTTAGCATAGCATATAACGACCGCTTGTTACGTTCCAGCCCACTAGGTTTATAATGTTTAACAAATTTGATATATCAAATTCTCCTTGTGTCAATTCAATGGAGTAACAAAAAATATTAATCGATAAAGTATTGATAACACCGTATTTGATAATCAAACCCTTCCACTAAAAATCAGTATCATTGCTGATGTTAGTATAAGATGCATTGCTTTTTATGAGTAAAATACGGGATGAAGATGAAAGCAATGCGGTATTGTTATCTACGTTATTATGAGCATTTATCTAGACTACTTTGTGCAAGACAAGTAGGAAACTATAAATGCTTTAGTGAGTTGTGTGTATATGTAATTAAATGTAGACTATGAATTTAATACCGGATTATTTTTCTGTACAATTATACAATAGCATCTATTATACAGTGCACATATAAATTGCTTAATGCACTACACCTGCCTCCCCTCTTAACAAAATTATTTGAGTCTTAAACGTTATCTGTTCTCTTCACGTTTGCATGCACGAAGGATATAAAGAATATCTCTCGAGTATGGTTCGGATTCCTAATATGCGTAAAAGAGGTCAATAACTATCGGTTCGTGAAAGTATATGTATAACAATTTGTAATGACTTTCTATTTTCAACAGACATTATAATGAGATATGTACCATTTTCTAATTCGAGACTGTATTTTTCTGAAGAGAAGTGAAATATCCAGCTTCTTCACCAGACTTGTGTGTCAATATACATGAGCATCCACATCCACTAGGACACTTGGTATTATTATTTGCAAACCAATCATGCATATGCACTGCATGACCACCATGATTACACTTAATACAGAAGCTAACTAACCCTGTAATCCAAAGAAAAGAAATTAAGATCGGGCAACTGTAGAATTGACTCACTGAACGGATAACTAACCTTTGGTCAAACAACGACATATTGAACATTGTATACCGGACTGCTTCTGGAAACATTTCGAGCACTTTAATCTAAGTCTCTTTGTGGAGAAGTTTACCGACGCGCCACCGCACATTTGACACGCACTGTGGATAGCTATAATGGTTGGTGACGATAATAAAAAAATTAATAAACACTAATAAAAGAAAGTAAAGTATAGGAATTATAACAACATACTTCGCCAATTTTCATTATCAACAACCAAACCGCCAAATACAGTCGTTGATTTCACAAGACCCATAAACTTCAACAGCTCGGCACGAGCTTCCAATAGTCCCCACATATATAGCAATTTAGCATAGGCAAGCCGGTATTGATCATAGATGATTGCGGCTTGAGCATCTGTGTCTAGTAATGGTAAATGGGTCGGCCTATTGTTATCGATTTTTAGTTATCGACAAACACCAGTCAATAATAAGTTAGTCTGCCGTTAGAACGTCTCGTAATAATCTTATTAAATACTCACCACATTTCATCTTCAAAATCCTTCTTGTTTTCAGAAATACCAAAATCACCTCCTCTTTCAGAATTCATATAATTGTTCGCTTCTGACTTCAATGCGAATCCTGCCGGACTACTTCCTCTTGTGAGCGAATCTGCTGTACTACCACTTGATGGATATGACATCATGCTACCATAGATAGTCTTTCTATGATATGATGAGTCAGGTATTGGCATATTTATTCCATGTACTGTAGTTTCACCTAGACTGTATCCATTAGAATTAAGCGTTGTAGGAGTTGGAGACAGAAAGTTTGTAGCGTAATCATTAGGATAATAGGCAGCCCAGGATCCACGAGACGAGTATGTATCACTAGAATGGGATACCAAAGAATGATTATTTGCCGGGTAGATGCTTGTGCGATGTGAGGTAGAGAACGAAAGTCTTTCAGGATTGCGTTGATAACCAAAGTAGTCAGGACTTTGATTTAAAGACGCAACGCCGAAAGAGTCTGGTGTTGACTACATAAAAAGTTTATTGGTCGAAATGTCAATTGAAGGTATCAAAGTAAACACAGTTGGGTAAGCATATGACAGCAATTCCTTACCATATCATCAGCTTCTACAACCAATTTTTTATCTAATTCACGAAATGCGCAAGATAGCATCGCAAGTGTTTGGACATCGCCAATTGTTGCGAAATGTTGAAATCTATAAGGAAGCTATACATTAGCTACCATAAATAACATGCAGTCTATAACATGTCCGAACCTTGCTTACATCTTTTTAACAAGCTCTGCACCTAATGGATGATATCCCCACTGTATCCTACAAGATATAAACGATCCGTTGTCATCTATGAATGGTGGCTCTACCGCGGTACCACTATCTCGTCTCTTTGTCGCTGATCTTGGAGCATTTTGTTGCATACCGCTACGTCTCTTTTCGTACGGGACTTGATCATCAAGAATGAGTGCCGCTAGCAACCAGATTTCTTCGAGATCTGAACGATTATGTTTGGCTGCTACACGGGCATTATGCTTACACATCTGGATTGGGTCATCTCCGAGTAATCTATGGAAACAATTCGTCGGATAAAAGGAAGAAATAAATAGTAACTACTAATACAGTATCGTTATAACTTACGTGTATTCTATAGCTAGTTTCTTGCTAACCGGCATCCAATCTGATAAGTCGTGAAGATATACCGTGTAACCAGTTCGATTGAGTTTTGCTGCTGGCTGGTACAATGCACCAGTTCCAACAGGATCTTGCTTACTTATGCTCTATGCAACAATTCAAAGCACGATATTAGTATAAAAATAGACGTTCTTTCACTTCAACCTCCCAACCAACGTACCGGATACATGAAAAGATTTAATGACTCGTTTTCGTCATCCTGCCCATCACTGCTCGGATGGTCGTTGTCTCTAAGGTGAGCAAATCGACGGGGTAATTGCGAAATAACTTTATATTGATCAAAATATTCATATGTGGGCGGATGAGTGTATGTGTATCGAGTACTTTTGGGAGTTGTATTTGCTGAATCCCGTGCACGATAGCAAGAAAAGAAGCAAATAAGCTGGCCTAGAATAAAAACGGATTTCTTAATACAAATCCTCATTTTTTGAACACAAATCAACATTAATCTTGTTATACCGACCGTTTCCCGAAAATCTTGCCCCACACAAAATTGGAAATGGTACGTTATGGTCATCGCGTTCACCCGCATCTTGCAGACTACTCCATTTTCTATCATGTGGTGGCCGTCTTGACAAATCCTCGTCATCTCTTCCATATCTCTCTCCGCTTTCTTCCACCGGATGCTCACCAAGAAGAAATCTGATGCAAGCTTCAAGGCATGGACGTTTTTGGGAGACGTATGTGTTAGCAATATAGTCTAGAAGCCGCAATACTTGACTACGGCCCATCATTGACATTGACATCATGCCAGTATTCTGAATGTCAAAATCGGGAACCCCCCGCTCAGGATATTCTTGCGGGAAGTATACGTTGATTTGGAGGAATGCGATCCCCTCATCTGCCCATGGGCCATGGGAATGAAGCTTTATCGTACAACGTCTATCGGGTACTATCACCTTAATAGAAACATTCCAAAGATGTAATGTAAAAACTCAATCCGATATAATCATCACGTATTATACATTATACAGCATCGAGTATTTATGTTCTTACCGGATCAAATACCACTTGCGGAAATTTTTTCGAGACCTGACCTAGCTCTTCCTTCCAATCGCGTGGTACAATCTCGGCACTTCCGGCTTCTTCTCCACGTGGCTTGATAATCTTCACACCTTGCATCCATGACAATGGTGATAATTTTAATCTGCGATATACACCAGTCGTTGGTGGACTCATATAACTCGTAATGCTGGACATTCTGTTTCCAGAAATTGCTTTTAATGCGTTTAATGTAGGATTTTGTGAAGACGTAATTTGAAGCTTTCTGCGGGGAGAGTCACGAAAAGTATACGTCGAATGACCGGTTCGAGTAAACTTGTCTGTGATCCTGCGACGCTGGCCTCTTTTATGTCCGATGCTCTATTTAAAAGTTGAATATGAGTTTATTAACAGAACATACACACATGCATCTAGGTTGGTCATACCTGCAAATGTTCATCTTTTATGGGCCAGAGACGTAGATGTTGGTCCTTTGACCAGGTTACTAGTTGGAATTCTCGATCATCCACATCCGAATCGCCACCTCCTTTCATTCTCCAGACAAATTCTTTGACAACATCTTTATGACCTTCAAAGACATGTACAGGTTTTTCGGGCTTCTCGCGGTTCCATAAATACAATGTTGTTTCTAGTCGTTGAGGCATTGTCAGAACACCGTGGCCAACTGGCTAATAGAGCAGTTTCGGGATGAGTGGCTGTATGGAAAACGTCACAAACGGTCAAATACATACTGTATGTCGAGCTCTCCAAACCGGTGAATTCGTTAGAATTTGCCCTTGACATTTTTCTGGTTCATGTATGTTCCAATACTATGCCGATTCAAAAGACCACCATAGGGGAATTAATGGAAATCTAGAAACACGTAACTTTCTATCCAAAGTGACTTCAAATAATTGGCCACCTACTTTGACTGACTTGTCCAAACTACAAGTAATGATATTACTGTCATCGTGTCGACTCCAGTCTATACCATAAATTTTGGCCGTGTGAGCTCTGATTGATATTGTTGGAAGAGACCCCATCTACATAATAATGAATGAGTATATATGATAATGATAATAATAAGTAGCAACACAAATAATTTCACTCTACCCTAATATCCCAGATTTTCAAATCTCGATCATGAGCAGATGCTAGTAAGTATTCATTTTTCCTATTAAATTTAACTTGCGTCGCGCCAGCTATCAAAAAACAGACAATCATATGTAAAAAAATTTCGAAAAATTGCGGCCTAAAAGAGTAGTAAACAGTTCAAAATGCACCTGTCCATGCACAAAAAGAGGAAACAGGTTTGGTTGGTGCCTTCAAGTCCCAAAGATTGATAAATGCATCGACGGAACACGTAGCGATTCTATTAGGATCAAATGGACTCCAATTTATATCGCTAATAGCTCTTGTATGGCCGTGAAGTACAATATGGATTGTGTTGTGCTCTGGACTTTCAAGGTCCCAGATAAATGCCCTTTGGTTCGACTAGAATAACAACGAGATAATTAATGTCACAGTAACAAACTTGAGAATACATAACTTAATGACTTACAGTAGACGCAACCCATGTATCCCTAGCTGAATGCGGGTTCCATTGGATATCAGCCACTTCCCAATTTGTAAAATGATAAAGTACGCGTGGAGGCGACCAAGGATTCTCAAGGTCTATGATGAAAAGACCTTTTCTCCTGTAAGCGCGATAATATAAACTTGTTAATAATGAATGTAAATCGGGTCGTATATTCCAAGATACTTACGCTGCTAGCGCAACATCTCTATTAGACGGTGATATGGACATGCTACCCACTGGCTCTTCTACTCGAATTGACAATTGCGAATAAAAAGTGTCCTTCTTTGTCGAAGGCACAGAATCGAGAGATTCCTTCCGATCAGGCGGTAGGAATTCCCCTTTGGTCGACATAATTACAGAGTCATAGCGTGAAGGAAAAGCCATACTTTGCTTAAAACCTCCTAACCGATCGATCTTTGAACTTAGTACCTTAGTCCATTTTCGAAAACAAGATCCAAACAAGATATGTTACACATACAATTATAAAAAGATTAATAATAGTCCATATGTATTATTATTATTATTATGCTCTTTAAACTGGTAGCAGTCAATATCAATGGACAATAAGCGAGAAACTCAAATCCTCTCGAATTGCAAATAATGTAATACGTTTGATGTCTCTAGCAGAGAAACTTGAGATGCATGAATGCACGGTATGATACCATTGGATGAGAGAAATACTCGTATCGCGCGAATCATAATTTACATGTCGAAATAGAAAATGAACAAGTATATACACGCGTCATGTGAACTGACGCTTACAGTTCGTAGGTCAGTTTTGTTGGTAGCTAGCTTCCTTTTTAACAAGGTAATCCTTCAATAAATTGTCAGGTTTTCTAGCCGAAGCAGCCGAGAGCAACTGTTTTCTACTAAGGAAGTTGAGCTTAATTGTCATACTCTGGACCTGTAATTTACACGTTGGGAGCCGTCATTTTATTGAAAGTAAAAGACGTAGAGATTATAGTAACCTAGCGTTTGATATTGATTATCTCAAATCTTGCGACGAATTCTTTATTTCCAAGGTACAACGTGAGACAATACTTGATGCCACCTGTACGACTCGTATGATCGTATAATGCAGTATTTATTATTGGTGAATCATTTGCGCCATCAAAGATAAATAAATGGTTGTGGCAATGAATGCGTGCTATCATCTAAATTCTAAAACTTGGTCTGCAAAAGTCATTTGGAACATCATTGCGTCGTTTTCTTACAGATATCATAGATCATAGATATGAGTACAAGTACGACAGTTATTACAACTCCTCAGCTCACTCCCAGGGCTTTACCCGACACTGGTACATCTGCACAAACCACAGCAATTCCGAGAAGTGAATCAGCTTTATCCCTACGCTTTGCGTCAACAGCCAATGCAGATGCGGTTGATGAAGAGCGATCTATCGCCTCAGCATCCGTTTCATCAAATGATCCGCTTATGTTGCGTCGCAGGCGAAAGTCAGAAGAAGAAATAAAAACGAAAGGAAAAAAGGTTCAGGCGTTTTATAGAGATCAAAATGAATTGATTGATGGTTTTTTGGGACCTGTTGAGCAGCAAACGGAAGAAGAGAAACGAGCAAATTCGTTAAGGGTGAGAGAAACTCGAGTTTATTACTTTGATTCAAACGAGTGTGTCGATATGTTGCATCAAGTTTATTTGCAAACTTGAGTATTAACGTAAAAGTTCTTATTCTATTATGTATTTTAATAATCGCCGAGGTAGCTAAAAATCGCCGTGAACGGTTCGATGATTGTAAATATTTTACTATTTGGTTTGCAACTGTACGCGGCAATCACGTCTAGGTCACTTTCACTTTTTGCTACAATGGCAGACTCTTTTATGGATATTCTATCGAATGGTACTCTCTTATTTGCCGGAAGAGCTGCAAATGCGACGAATTATTTAGAATATCCTACGGTAAGCCGATATTTCATTCTGAATTTTCGAATAATAATAATATCGCTAAATGGTTGGGTTTGATTATTGATACCGTTAGGGCAAGGCGCGTATGGAAACTGCTGGAATTATTGTATTTTCGTCTTTTATGTCCACTGTTTCTATTCAATTGCTGGTGAGTTCTTGTCATTCAAGCAATTTATATGACGCTGTGATTATAACAAACAAATTTATCTAAGTAGATTGAGGCTATTAAAACTCTAGTTCACGGTGGCGAAAATCCTGATGTTAATAAAATAGCCATTATATGTATAGGCACTGCTTTAGGTATAACCTCTTTTTTTTCTTTTTCTTTTTTATGTAGTTCATCATGCATTCAACTGTCTAATTGCACATTAGTCGCCAAGTTCGGGTTGTTCATATATTGTTACACGCAACGACAATGGCCGACTGCTAAGGTGTTGGCCCAAGATCATCGCAACGATTTGTTGATAAATTCCTTTGGTTTGACTATGTCATTGCTTGGGCAAAAGATTATTTGGTGGATGGACCCCCTCGGTGCTATTTTCGTGGCTTTGATTATCTTAAGAAGTTGGATAATGACCGCCCGCGGTGAGTTTTATAAAAAAGTGATTGCCTTCGTCAGGATTTTTCGTTGAGAGGACTGAATTCATTTTGTGCAGTTTACTGCTCGTACATTTGTAACAGATCAAATACAATTAATTGCTGGTAAAAGCGCCGATCCTGCAATATTAAAAAGATTGACGTACATGGGTAAGTGATGTTATATATTCGGTGTATTTATTATGGTTCTTGTTATTGATATCCCCTCTTTCGCGTTTCAGCTCTAACACATGATGAGAAAGTTCTACAAGTCGATACCTGCCGAGCTTACTATTCCGGAAGCAAACTGTATGTGGAGGTCGACATAGTCTTGGACAGAGATACCCCTCTCTGGATAGCCCATGACGTTGGAGAGGCTTTGCAAGTAAAATTGGAAAGCATGCCTTTTGTGGAGAGAGCTTTTGTTCACGTTGATTATGATTCTGATCATAGACCTGAGCATCAAAAGGACGTCTAATAATGTCTGCCACGGTTATAAATTGTTAATAATTCTCGGCTTGATTATTGCTAGCAACGCCATTCTCAATAAATAACAGCGACGAATTTAGAAATGACAATCAACGGCATCCTATTTGTATGTCTTTCCCTCCTGAAGAAATTAACGAGCAACGGGGGAAACAGACACTTTTTACCGGAACATACCACAGTACATTCAGGGAACTCTTTTTGATTTTATATGAATTTAGTTCAGACAGGAAAACTGAAGATAGGATCTTTCTAGCTAAAAAAAGAATACCAATTTAAAAGCTCAAGAATCAAGTATTATGGCTTGATTGTTTGGTCAAGTCAGATCTTAGAAACCTAAAAAAAGCCCTTACTAAAATTGCTATTAGCAGAGCATTGTAACATCCACTATCTTTAAATAACGTACGCACATAAATGAGTGTTATAATCACTTTTCTCATAGAAAGTGTGGAGAGAGAACCAGAAAGGTCAACGTTGCTTATTTGGTACTTGCTCAGTTGAACTCAAAGAGATTCTCTAAGGCAAGCCATTATACTAACTGCAAAGATTGCTCTTTACTTCAAATTGTTCGTTTTGTTTTTGATTTGTTTCTATTTGTTGTTGTTTTGTCTTTTTTTTTTTTTTTTACTTTTTTTTTTCTTGCTACGTCCAAAATAAAAAAAAAATTTTAATTTTTTTTCTGTAAATTTTTTTCTGTATTATTGATTAAGGCGTCAGTTCGGTTGCAGGCCACGAGTCGTTATAGTGAAGTGTTGTTAGCGTGAAATATGTAATGATGGGACGCATGGACTTATGATTTCAAACCTCATATTTGACGACTTTAGTAATGTATGCTTATTACATTAGCATTCATTTGTACTTCGACTCCGTCATCATGCGCGATATTCACACGATATGACGCGTAAACATACCGTATTCTTCCGAAAATAAGCAACACCCGAAAATAAGCAACACTTCAGAAAAATTAAATAAATAATTTGGCTT